TTCATGGGGAATGATTCTGTGACCAGTTTGTACATAGCCTTAGGGCTTTTTTTTTTTTTAGGTTCACAAACTTTGTTCTATAGCAAAGTCATAGTCAGATATAACTCTTATGGATGTTTAGATCGGGAAAATAATAAAACAATTTTGAAAAGATAACAAAAATAAAAATCCAATGCATTAACTTTTCAGCATTGGGAATTATTTCTCTGAACAATTTTGTAATTGTTCACATTTTATAATGTGTACTGCTATCCTATATGTTGTTTTTGAGGAAACAAAATTATGATATAGAGTAATTGAAATTCAGCATCCCATACAGTAAATAGATTCTGCGTATAGCTGATGCAACTCATAACAAAATTTCTGAAGACAGTGGTCTATTTTCACCCTTTTATGACAAAATCAGGCATAGTCTGTTCTTTGGAGAGGGCATTCATGACCCAGTTGAGCTTCAAAGAAATCACTGTCAATTTGATGTTAAAACATTTCCATACAATTACTATTTGCATATTTAATCCATTGAATAGAAGTCATTTCCAGTGTTTCAGAATAAATAAAATAGAATTAGTGTAATCAAGTCTTATAAGAGTGTATTTAAATCATTTCAAGCATGAAGAAGCCTATCTTCTCCCTTATATCTTCTACTTATTTTTTTCAATCACTATTTCTAATATCCAAAATGTTTGCATTCAATAAATCCTTAAGTTCCACCTCAGCCCTTTATGCTTTCTTTTTAAGGTCTTGATATCATGATACTACTATGCTACCAAGTCAAACCCTGGTCACCAATCTTCATGATGAACACAAGTGGTAATAAAAACATGTTTTTTGCCTTTATGAGAAAACACTTGAACTGAGAACAAGTTGCTGTGGCTCAAATGTTTATCTTTCTGATTAACTGTTATTGACAGATGGCAAGTATTGCCAATGCATCTTTTATTAAGTTACTATTCACTTAACATATGATTGAGCAAATACAGGGAAAGTTTTTTAATGAAAAACATAATTCTTACCTAAGAGATTATCACGGAATAACATATTGGAAACGTTAGCTCTCTTTTGCATATAAAATATGCATTCACTATTTTCTTTAAAATAATGGGTCTTAGTAGGTTCAGATGAATCATATCCTGAGCCACGTCTTCTAGTAAGTATTAAAATGCTGTGTCATGGGTTTTTTTTAATAGTATTAGAGAATTTTCTGTCTCCTAAAAGTTAAATTACAAAAGTGGTTTTAATTTTGCATTCAATGTCTTTATTTCCATAAGCTTTAACATCTGCATTTAACTGTCATTTAGTCTTATAGATTCTTAATTTAATTTACTTCACTTTCTATGCTTTTGTATCATTTCTTTTTTTTTCCATTTATTTTTATTAGTTGGAGGCTAATTACTTTACAATATTGTAGTGGTTTTTGCCATACTTTCTTATTGGCAGCAATCAATTCCTAGCCTACAAGCTATAAATGGTTAAATCAATTAAAGTATATCAAAACAACCAGAGCTGCTTCAAGAACAGATTTGCTGGAAGACGATTTTCTTAAATCCTCATCAACTCTAGTTTTCTTTCTTACTTTTTTAAATTATCAGGTAATTAATTTTTTTGGTCATGATTGCAACTAAGGTAGCAAAAAAAATCATATGGAAATCCATTCCATGAAAATATATCTGGGATAATATCAAGTATTATTTTTAAAGAGGTAAAGAAATAGCCATGCTTTCAATGTTAAGATTTTGTGTCCCTTTATTTGCAACAGTCTCTGGCTCTTTCATTCTGAAATAAGTTATATTTTGTTTCATGGATAGCAAAAGTTGAGAAAGAAGTAAAAGTTTGGCTTTTTCATTTTTGAAGCAATTAATTATTAAATGGGAGCCTTTAAGGGATTGACAGCTTTTTATTGCATTGTGCAAATTTTAAAATAGCAAATATTACAGAAGAATAAGCACAGGTGTCAATTAAATATCATGACCAGATAGATTCAAATATATATATTTTGTATCTAGTATCTGAGTCAGTATCAATCAGTTGTGAACTCCCTGTAGTAACTAGAATGTGCGTAAACTCTCAAAAATTGCATAAGATAGTGGGTGTTTGGTTCTGTGTTCTGTCCCGAGCTCCCTGTCATTAGTCCTGATGAGTTTTTTAAATGAATTGCTAATGTTTGTAACATCATACGTTTTATAGGTAAAATAAAGTGCCAGAAATAGGACTGGCCTGACAAAAAATTTAAATTGTCAATAAAAATGTTAAGAAACTGTTAAAAAAAGCATCAACTGTTCAGAATTTTGCAAGAGAATTATTATATATTCCATAAACATCTGTGCTTTTTTATATTCAATTTCCTCATTCCCCTAACTACTTAGTGTAAAAAAAGCAAATGAATAAACAAAATAAAAATAACAAAAAGAACATCAGTGTTGTTACACTAACTAATCAACATGTTTCTTTTATGTTTGGCAAGTCCCTGGAATTAGGTATCCATTATATACCTAAACTGCAACTTCATCATGCATCAGTGTGGTTGTTAAAATATGGTCTTTCACATAACTTAGTGGAGAATATCTGTAACAGTAAACCTTACTTTAAATATTGAAATGAAAAACATTCCATCTTTAATCATAAGTAGAAAGAAGATAAGTTATGTTTGTATGGATGTGTGACTGTGCAGAGTAGGGTGTACTGTATTGAAAATCCTATGGTAGCTCAGACAGTGAAGGATCTACCTCCAGTGCAGGAGACCTGGATTCAGTCTCTGGGTCAGGAAGATTCCCTGGAGAAGGGAAAGGCAACCCACTCTAGTATTTTTGCCTGGAGAATTCCATACAGAGAAGCCTGGCAGGCTATAGTCAATGAGGTTGCAAAGAGTCAGACATGACTGAGCAGCTAATAATTTCACACCATTTTAAATCATGCATTTAAAATCTTATGAATTTTCTCCCTTTAATCTCTCAAGGATTAGCAAATGATCAGTCCTGATATGTTATTCTAATCCCTAGGAAACAATAATTTTTAAAAAAATTATCTTAAACTTTTAGTCTACAATAGCCATATTAAAGTCTCCTAGTTGGCTATTTGTATTTTTCACCATAAACATTGACTATTTCTACATAGGAGGCAAAGAAAAGCATGAATAAAAATCCTTAAGTATGTTTTAGGTGAAAAAAAATTATTGTACTAAGGAAATATATTTGCTAATTAATTGTAAGTTGCAGCTATGCCTATAAACAATTGTCTCTGAACATGTTATTTTTATTGAGTCTTCTCATTTGACAATTTTATTTTCCAGTAAAGCAAAGAATTACAAAATAGAAGTGTCATCCTCAGTCATATTGTTTATAGCAAGTGGTTCTTTTAGGAAAATGTTATCCAGGAATACTTGTTTTCATTAAGATGCCACAAGTAGTTTTAAACATTTTTAGGGAATTGTGTATGACTTAAAAATATTAATTTGTAAAATAGTCACATCTTAATTAATGGTAATACCATCATATGAGAGGTGCCAACATACAAAATCTCGACTTTGAAACCTAATTTTAATATTTAGAAATAAGAGATTCTACTAAAATCAAAATTTTGCAATTGCTGATAACATTTTCTCATTCTGATGAATCTGTTTTTATAGCCTAACTGCATATTTTCCTGCTTTTTGTTTTTTTTGAGGGGTGGGAGAAGATTGGGCTTTAACCTTCTATATTGGGATAAGCTTGAAACATGCACAATACACATCTCAAAAGTAAGGTTGGGGTCATTCTAGATACCTTCTAATAGGGCCCAGAAACATGACAATAAAAAGTTGACATGATTTAAAGGAAAGTTCTGTAAAGACATTTGCATTGTTTTTACAACTAGTGGCCTGATTCTTGATTCTTATGACGGCAAAGCCTTTCACAAAAGACTGTGGGTCTGTGCCTTAAAAATTATTTGTTTTTTATTAGATGTTGAAGTTGAATTATTTATAATTTTATAATTTGCTGAAATAAGCCACTTTTTTTCTTTAAGAAAATACCCATTTATAAAGATTAGCTTCTGCTTGAATTTAAAAGTCACTATCACTGTGTACAATCCAAATGGCAATAAGCACAGAGATTTATTGTAACTTTGGTGTCAGTATGTCTATCAGGAATACAGGATCCATGTGATAACTTTATGTCACAAAATAAACATGTTGTAGTACTTGAGAATCTCATGAGTTCTGATTCTATTCATTTAGGAATACTAATGCTACATTTGAGAATATGAATAGTAGAATTTTTGAAATATCAAACAGTGCTACAGATGTTTGAACTAGTAACTTTAAGACAGTATAAAATAGTACCCCAATTGGCTCAATCTCCATTTTCCAGCTACTAAATATTCTTAAATTTATACTCAGAGAGGATCTTCAAATTATAGTGTTTTCACTATATCTTAAAGAATAAATTGAAAGAAAAAGTTTAGAGTTTAGCAAAAACCAAACTTCATCACTGAGAATGAAAGAATAAATAATAAATAAATTAATAAATTATATTAATTTGATTATGTAATGCAGTGAGTAAAGCTCACATTTTCCATTAAGGTTTATATAGAACCATATACACAACTGGAAATGAACATAGTTTTAACAAAGTCAAAACCATACATATATGACATGTGCTACTTTATACAATAGCAGCATTAACTATACTTAATTTTAGATAAGTATGGATTATTTTCAAAAATGTATTATTTGCTTGTGCAGAGAACTTACAATTTATTAAAAACAGTTTTTTCTGCTGATTGGCATATGACACAAATAATAAAATGCCTTATGTAAGTGAAGACCATTTGTATTCAAGTAAAATATATTAAGATGTTCAAAGTTAGTAAACAGACAATGAAGGCAAATAAAATTTACACAATATTTTGTTTCTTATCAGGATGCATTTCAAATGAGGAAATCAAATCTTCCACTTTTTTTTTTTTTCTGACTTGGTGAGTACATGGTCCTGGGTCCTTATTATAATAGCATTATTTTGGAAGCATTATGGTGTGGAAGTTGGCTTGGGAGATGGACAGGATCCTTGACTATCAAAACTGGTTGCCCGGCCAGGTAACTGAAAGATAATAATTTTATAATGTGCAAAAATAATAATAAAGTGGGTAATTGTTGTAACCTTTTAATAGTGAATATTCACACTCATGATATGCTAGTCTCTGAAGAGAAGATATACATAACTCCCCATGACTTTCATAACTCACCTTCTCAGGTGGTGTGCAGGGACACAAACATCTCACAAAAATGTAGGCAGAGCATGGTACATAGATGACATGCAGGAAAACTGCAGATATATTTCACATTCTATCACAGACTATTAGTTTTTATTTCCTGGTGGCTCAGATGGCAAAGAATCTGCCTGCAATGTAGGAGATCCAGGTTTGGTCCCTGGGTTGGGAAGATCCTTGGCAAAGGGAATATCTACCCACTCCAGTATTCTTGCCTGGAGAATTCCATGGACAGTGGAGCTTGGTGGGCTACAGTCCATGGGGTCACAAAGAATCATAAGCACAACTGAACAACTAACACTTTCATTTTAATCTTGCACTTTTTTTTTATTAGTTGGAGGCTAATTACTTTACATTATTGTAGTGGTTTTTGTCATACATTGACATGAATCAGCCATGGATATACATGTATTCCCCATCCCGATCCCCCCTCCCACCTCCCTCTCCACCCGATCCCTCTGGGTCTTCCCAGTGCACCAGGTCTGAGCACTTGTCTCATGCATCCAACCTGGGCTGGTGATCTGTTTCACCCTAGATAATATACATGTTTCGATGCTGTTCTCTTGAAACATCCCACCCTCGCCTTCTCCCAGAGTCCACAAGTCTGTTCTATACATCTGAGTCTCTTTCTCTGTTTTGCATATAGGGTTATTGTTACCATCTTTCTAAATTCCATATATATGTGTTAGTATACTGTAATGGTCTTTATCTTTCTGGCTTACTTCACTCTGTATAATGGGCTCCAGTTTCATCCATCTCATTAGAACTGATTCAAATAAATTCTTTTTAATGGCTGAGTAATATTCCATGGTGTATATGTACCACAGCTTCCTTATCCATTCATCTGCTGATGGGCATCTAGGTTGATTCCATGTCCTGGCTATTGTGAACAGTGTTGCGATGAACATTGGGGTGCGGTTGGGTAAGAGCAACAAGTTTCAAGACACAAGAGACTGCATTCCATTTGCTCTAAGGCAGGAGGTGATTTTTATAGAAGCAATCAATGAGAAGGACTGAGTTTGGAAAATAGGAGACACAAGGGATAAAGAATAATTTCTCCTGGTCCCTAAATATTATGTATATTTTAAAGGTTTAATTACAATAGGATAAACTTTTATATCCAGGTAGAAGTAGACAGATTTTCCAAGTGATGCTTTAGTCTCTTTCTTACCAATTTACTCAGCTCCTGAATAATTGTTCCCTTCTCATTTTAATCCCTGCTGTGGCAACAAAACACATAATTCCACACACACAACTTTCCCACAATTCAAAATCCAGCCAGTTCTTAGGTCTGTAGTCCCTATGTTCTGTTTGACCAGTGAATGAAGGTGCAGAAGTCAGAAAAAGTGAGCTATTTGCTGGAGAAAGTACCTCTGCATAATCTCTTCAGCCCTCTTGTCCTCTGCTAGTGAGCAACTAGAAAATTGTATCTGGGATCTTCTTCTGATGTTTATCCTTCCTACATATCCTACAATGACTGAAAAGTTCTCCCATGTTTTCACACACAAATTCATGTCTATTTCATAGTTTTTCCTCATTATATAAATGCATAACTGCTTATTGTTGTTCAGTTGCCCTAAATAACAGTCGAACAATCTTGTTCAACTCTTTGCAACCTCATGGACTGCTACATGCCCAACTTATCAGTCATAAACAATTATAATATGCTTTGGGTCATAAAACATCTGTCCTTTCATTAGTTGAAAATTGTTGATCACATTATCTCACTAATCCCTACATCATTCCTATAAACTCTGTAAGAGTGTGTATTTTTCTTTTTTTAATATTTATTACTTTTTTGGCTCTGCTGGGTCTTCATTGTGGCATGCAGGATCTTCGGTTGTGGAATTAGAATGCTTAGTTGCAACATGTAGAGCCTAGTTCCCTGACCAGGGATCAAACCTGGGGCCCCTGTGTTGGGAATGCAGAGTCTTAGCCACTGAACAATCAGGGAAGTCCCAGAGGTGTCCATTTCTATTTTCTAAATATAGAGAAATGTAGCTTCAGATAAAGTACATGGTCTGCCCAGAATTAGACAGTCAGAGGAACAAGCATTAGAATTCACATCTGCCTTCAGTGTAGTACTCTGCCCAGCAAACTCTACTCTTATGTCTAGATTCTTAGACCTAATAATCACTTTTCAAACTTTAAGTAAAAACAAAGATGAGAAACAGGAAAAGAATAGCAAAGCAGTAGTGTACTTCAGATAATACACGTTGTTGAAATGAAACAACCTTCTCAAGACTTATTGATTTATTATTTAGGGGAAAGTGCTGTGTGAATGTGCATTTGCATAGCGTGTCTGTCTTTTATGATTTACAATAAATGATGAAATGAGTTAAAGATTTGGAACATTAATGTAATAAAGCAGATAATTTATCTAAGATGACATTTCACCTCCTATGCCTGAGTATGTGCTGTATATAGAGTGTTCATGGAATTTTCCCCATAATGTCTTGAGTAACGCAGCCAAGGTCACACTTCTGTGACCAAGCTGAGCCTAGAACGAGGGCTCAATGATATTTAGTTAATTATACTGCTCTGTCTCTCCTATTCAACCTATGCTTAGTAACAGAATAAGCAGAATCTTATCCATGGGAGAGATGGCAATGTATATATACTTCATTTGCTATTACTGTGTAGTTATCATAAATTTTTGTATTGAATTGCATAAATTCCACCTCTTATAAACTCACAATTAATTAGGTCATATAAATAATTTATTTTGAGGTTCTTCAAGATATTCCAGTCTTTGGGAAAGAAAATCACTTCACCTAGCAACATTTAGTATATCAAGTAGACAGACAACTGCTTTCATGGCTCAAAATTCTGATAGAAACTGGTATTGATATCACTTCTAGTTAATATAACTATTAATATTAGTTATATTTAGAACAACGTTGTGCTTTACTCTGTGTTAAGTACTTAATAGTCAGCAGTTCATCTAGTTTTACTCTAAGTTTACTACTATTAAGTAGTAATAACAGAAACTTAGGTTTATGTCTTGCCCAAGGTTCTCCAATATGTGGTCACACAGCAGAGCCAGGTTTTCAACTTAGGCAAACTAATGCCTCAATATTTTTAAAAACAATCTGTGAGACTTTTTAACTTCCTGAACAGAGCCAGTAACTATATACCTGCCCCCTTACATATTAAGTGACATCCTTATTTAGGGATTCTTGGGAAGTTTAGGTGAGGTGGCTGTTTTCACAAAAGAGAAGCACCAAAATTCAGTTTCAAGGTAATAATGGATTTACTTGATTGCTACACCACTTAATGACACAAGTTTTCAGACTATGTAGAGAAAATAGTAGATTTGCAGTTTTTATGGACTTACTCCAAAGGAATATCAAGCTCAGAAAATTTAGTTATTTTTAAAAACCAACAAGACATACAAAACTTTGCATACTGGGTAACAGAGTCTGTGGGACAAAAACAAGAGCAAATAGCTATTAAAAAAAAAAAGGTGAATATGTAAAATGTTAGTGAAATGTTAGCAGATAAATAATATTTAAACAAGAGATAAAGAAGAGAGTAGATACAAGAGAGGTCTAGAGCTTACCTCCAGCAAGGGGTGCCAATGTGTTATTGGTTTTCGGTGATAGGTCAACATTTCATTCCAGTGGTCTCGCCCAAGACCCTTGGCGTCCAGTCCTGTTCTACACACTCCTATGACCTCGTTGTGTCCTACCCTATGATTTGGAGAATATTTTACTTTCATTCCAATATTCAAAGATAAGTTTCACACACCTTAACAGAATTTTAAGCACAATTAAAGCAGGAGATTTTGTGATAAGTTCTAGATGATTTTACATGTTAAACTACTTCAGGTCAAATGAAGAGTCTTAAGTAAGTTAAAACTTACTTAAAAGGATTGGGCCTCCCAGATGGTTCTAGTGGTAAGGAACCCAACTGCCAATGCAGGAGATATGAAGGATGCAGTTTTGATTCCTGGGTCAGGAAGATCCCCTGGAATTGGGCATGGCAACCCACTTCAGTGTTCTTGCCTAGAAAATCCCTTGTACAGAGGAGCCTGGTGGGCTACAATCAACAGGGTCGCAAAGAGTAGAACACAACTGAAGTGACTGAGCAGGATCAGCATTCAAAAATGAATTTGTAAAAAGAATATACACAAACTATTTTAGTGCTCTGTAAACTAAGCACATTTCACAATAATAGGAGTGTGAATGAGAAATGCCAGTTGGTCCTTACCTATATGATGAGTTTCTTTCTTGGAAACAGACCTATTAACTTTAAGTGATATAACTCTAATCTCCTTTTCCCAAAGGGCTTAATGTTTTATAATGATGCATAAATTACTCACAAAGAGTTCAATATAAATGAGGTTGTATAAATGACCACAATTAATTGATTCTAAATGATATATCAGTAAATGTTACCACTGGTATAATAATTAAACAGGGAAGGGCTACATTTTGAATCATGGCATTTAACTTACTGCATAGCATCAGAGCATAGTGAACATTCTTGTTTTCTATTCATGCCTTGTTTTCATAGCAATAAATCAAAATAATAATGATATTTTTGAGAGCTTATTATGTGTGAGACACTTTTCTAAGTAATTTAAATGTACTAACTCACTTAATCTTTATATCATGACCATGAATATCATTATTATCAACTCATTTTGCAGACAAGTTAAAAACTCAGAAGGGACCTGCCTGCATTTGTACACTTAATAAGAGATAGAAGACTTGAATGAAAAGAGTTGACCGAAAACCCAAGCACACATGGGGTAAGCTGCTTCTCAAGAACAGAATACAAGTTAAAGGCTTTTTTTCCTAGCATTATTTTGACAGAAAACTCTAAGGAGATTTTTGAGATGGTTTTAGTACATTTCTCACTGTCACTGATGTATTAATTGTACAGTTAATTAATGATGTAGTAATTAACTGATATATTATGGCAGAAAGCAAAGAGGAACCAAAGAGCCTCTTGATGAAAGTGAAAGAGGAGAGTGAAAAAGTTGGCTTAAAACTCAACACTCAAAAAACTAAAGATCATAGAATCTGGTCCCATCACTTCATGACAAATAGATAGAGAAATAATGGAAACAGTGACAGACTTTATTTTGGGGGACTCCAAAATCACTGCCTCTGGTGACTGCAGTCATGGAATTAAAAGATGCTTGCTCCTTGGAAGAAAAGCTATGAACAACCTAGACAGCATATTAAAAAACAGAGACATTGCTTTATCAACAAAGGTCTGTCTAGTCAAAACAATGGTTTTTCCAGTAGCCATGAATGAATGCGCAAGTTGGACCATAATGAAAGCTGGGCACCAAAGAACTGATGCTTTTGAACTGTGGTGTTGGAGAAGACTCCTGAGAGTCCCTTGGACAGCAAGGATATCCAACCGGTCCATTCTAAAGGAAATCAGGCCTGAATATTCATTAGAAGGACTGATGCTGAAGCTGAAACTCCAATACTTTGGCCACCTGATGTGAAGAATTGACCCATTAGAAAAGATACTGAAGCTAAGAAGACTCAATGGCAGGAGGAGAAGAAGACAATAGAGGATGAGATGGTTGGATGGCATCACCAACTCGATGGACATGAGTTTGAGCAAGCTCTGGGAGCTGGTGATGGACAGGGAAGCCTGGCATGCTGTAGTCCATGGGGTCGCAAAGAATAAGACACTACTGAACAACTGAGTTGAACAGACTGAATTTCAGAAGGGATTTGGAGATGATTAATAGTGCCCACTGTTACACAATTAAGGATATTGAGGATTCTTGAGGATGAATTCATTAATTCAATTATTCATTTCCTCAGTATGCAACAAATATTTATTGAGATTATTAAAGGAGCCACAGGTTTTTTCTAGGCACTGAGGATAAAACAATAAACAAGTCACTGACCTCAAAGAGTTTACAACCTATCGAATTAATGTCATTAGCAGACTAAAAGGTAGATAAGGAAAAACATAGTTTGAGCAAACTCTGGTAGTTGGTGATGGACAGGAAAGCCTGTGTTCTGCAGTCCATGGGGTCACAAAGAGTCAGACACGACTGAGTGACTGAACTGAACTGAACTGATGCTTAGTATCTTTCCCCTTAAAATGAAGTCTCCCCAAAGTGTATTTTTATAAATAACTTTAAAAATTCATTTTACAGATTGTCAGGGTCCACTTCCCTAAAATTATTTGGTTGACAAATGATCAACTGTATCTACTTGTAGTCTTTGCTGTGAGAAATCAATGGGGGTAATTTTTTTGATAAAGTGGAACAGGGGGTTCTGATTGAAACACTGTAATATTTTTAGAGTTTGCCATTTCAACTAGAAACTCAAGATTTCTCTATCTCTTTAAACAGTGTCAGCTTTTCTGTAAACTGTGATATAAACTAATTACAAATAAATAGTAAAGATCACCTTATCTTTCAGTACTTCATTTTTCTAGCTGTCATCCAGAGTATACCATTTTTAATGTCTCTCTGTTATAGGGTCCTGGCTACTACCATTTGCATAATAATACAAAATAGACACTGAATATTTATGTATGTGCATTCTGTACCACTTGTGTTATTTTTAGAACAAAATAAGACACTGTCTATGTGCTGATAATTTTGTAGCTTAAATATACAAGATTCATTTTTGAAAGCCTTATAAATATAAAAAGAAAACAACAAAAAGAATTATACAGCAAGGAACTTCAGTGGAATACAAGTTCAGAGGAAGAAGAGATTGGTTAGCCAAGAAAGATGCAGAAGTGGTGACTTGAGCAGAGCTGTAAACCATGAACGGAATGAGATAAACTGAGCAGGGCAACATTTCAGATAAGGAAGGAGTAGGTGCTGCAACAGGAAGAAGATTCAGTGCTTAACTCAGGAGTCACCTATTTATTTTATGAAAGGAGAAGTAATCAAAGTATGTGAGCTAGAAGAACTAACCATAAAGTGATGATTTAAGATTAGTGTGAGACCTTCAAGGCAATAACAATATGGACAATATTCACCTTCAACTCTTAATTCTCATTGTTCACAATTTCACATTATACTAAAGTGAATCTCCAAGAGAAACTTGCCCTTTACACAGCTAACTAATGATAGAGCTCAGGTAAGCATCATGATATTCACATTCCAGACCACTTGGAAAAGCAAAATCCATTGATTGTAATTTCTGCTGTTACTATTAGAAAAAAAAAAAGTTCACAAAAGTGTTTATTATAATGTATCCCATACAACTTCCACACCCATTATGTCACAATACTCAGGTAACCTGTCCTTCAACTTTTGGAAAAGAAAATTGAAATGTTACAGCATAGAATAAAGTAAATTTTGAATAAATAATTTTCCCTTTTTCAATTTAAATTAAAATTCTTGTAGCAAAAGATAACCTGAAAAGCTGAATTTGGTCCACATATGACTAAATGTAGCAATTACTCTGTGAGTAGAAAAATGAACTTACCTATCATAATCCATGACTGCAATGGAGAGGCTGACCTGGTCCACATTCTCTGGAGGGATGTCAAAAATAATTGCCTCATTGTACACAGGGTTTAGAGTGTTTTTCTTCGTAGTTGTCTTCTTCTTTTTTAATCTTCGACCCTCACACATCAGAGACACTTTGACATATGGATCTAGCAATAGAAAGGTAGTTTTAAGAAAATGCAAATAATAGTACAAAGCACAAATAAAAACTGATTAATTTTATTAAATTAGAAAAATGGCATACTATGTCCTATAGTGGTATATTATGTCTTATAATGGTATATTAAGCCCTATAGTTTCAATTATACCAAAGAAATTCTTGCACTGTTAAGAAAGTTCTAGGACCTACAACAGATTTCCCAACCTGGGGATCCAGCAAAGGGACTGAGAACTCCCAGAGACTTTGACTTTGGAGGCCAGTGGGATTTGATTACAGAACTTCCACAGGACTGGAGAAAGAGACTCTTGGAGGGCATAAATAACACCTTGTGCCCACAAGATCCAAAAGAAAGGAGCAATGTCCCCATAAGAGACTGAGCCAGACTTGCATGTGTGTGTCCAAGAGTCTCTGGAGGAAGCATCGGTCAACAGTGGCCTGCTGCAGAGTCAGGGACACTGAATACAACAGTGTGGGCATAAGTCCTTTTGAAGGAAGTTGCCATTATCGCCATTACCCTTACCATAGTTTGCCCTCAGGCCAAACAACAGGAAGGGAACACAGCTCCACTCACCAATAGAAAATTGGACTAAAGATATACCGAGCATGGCACCGCCTATCAAAACAAGAGCCAGATTCCCCCACAGTCAGTCTCTCCCATCAGGAAGCTTCCACAAGCCTCTTATCTTTATCCATCAGAAAGCAGATAGAATGAAAACCAAAATCACAGAAAACTAACCAAACTGATCACATAGAACACAGCCTTGTCTAACTCAATGAAACGTTGAGCCATGCCATGTAGGGCCACCCAAGATGGATGGGTCATGGTGTAGAGATCTGACAAAACGTGGTCCACTGGAGAAGGAAATAGCAAACCATGTCAGTATTCTTGCCTTGAGAACCCCGTGAACAGTATGAAAAGGAAAAATGATAAGGCATTGAAAAATGAACTCCTCAGATAGGTAGGAGCCCAATATACTACTGGAATAATGGAGAAATAACTCCAGAAAGATGGAGAGACGGAGCCAAAGTGAAAACATTGCCCAGTTGTGGATGTGACTGGTGATGGAAGCAATGTCTGATGACTTCCTATGAACGATATTGCATAGGAAGCTTGAAATGTTAAGTCTATGGATCAAGGTAAATTGGAAGTGGTCAAACAGGAGATGGCAAGAGTGACCATTGACATTTTATGAATCAGTGAACTAAAATGAAGCAGAATGGGTGAATTTAATTCAGATGACCATTATATCTACTACTGTGGGCAAGAATCACTTAGAAAAAATGGAGTAGCCCTCACAGTCAACAAAAGAGTCCAAAATGCAGTACTTGGGTGCAATCTCAAACATGAAAGAATGATCTCTATTCATTTATAAGGCAAACCATTCAATATCAGAGTAAGTGATGGTATGATCACTCACCAAGTCTATGTTCCAACCGCTTATGTGACAGAAGCTGAACAATTCTATGATGATCTACAAGATCTCTTAGAACTAACATCCCAAAAAATGTCCTTTTCATCATAAGGGACAGGAATGCAAAAATAGGAAGTCAAGAGATACCTGGAGTAAAAGGCAAGTTTGGTCATGGAGTACAAAAAGAAGCAGGGCAAAGGCTAATAGAGTTTTGCCAAAATAATGCACTGCTCATATCAAACACCCACTTCCAAAAACACAAGAGACGACTCTACACATGGACATCACCAGATGGTCAATATCGAAATGAGATTGATTATTTTCTTTGCAGCTGAATATGGAGAAGCTCTATACAGTCAGCAAAACCAAAACCAGGAGCTGACTGTGGCTCAGATCATGAACTCCTTATTACAAAATTCAAGCTAAAATTGAAGAAAGTAAGGAAAACCACTAGACCATTCAAATATGACCTAAATCAAATCTCTTAATTATACAGTGGATGTGACAAATAGATTCAAGGGATTAGATCTTATAGACAGAGTACCTAAAGAGCTGTGGACAGAGGTTCATGACATTGTACAGAAGGTGGTGATCAAGACCATCCTCAAAATATAAAAAATAAAGTCAAAATGGTTGCCTGAGGAGACCTTACAAATTGCTAAGAGAAGAAGAGAAGCTAAAGGCAAAGGAGAAAAGGAAAGATATACCCATTTGAGTGCAGAGTTCCAAAGAATAGCAAGGAGAGGTAAGAAAGCCTTCCTCAGTGATCAATGCAAAGAAATAGGGGGAAACAAAAGAAGGGGAAAGACTAGAGATCGCTTCAAGAAAATTAGAGACACCAAGGGAGCATTTCATGCAAAAATGGGCACAATAAAGGACAGAAAAGGTAAGGGCCTAACAGAAGCAGAAGATATTAACAGGTGGCAGGAATACACAGAAGAACTATTTAAAAAAAAAAATCTTAGTGACCAGGATAACCACAATAGTATGATCACTCACCTAGAGTCAGATATCCTGGATTGAGAAGTCAAGTAGGCCTTAGGAAGCATCACAATGAACAAAGCTAGTGGAGGTGATGGAACTACAGCTGAGATATTTCAAATCCTAAAAGATGATGCTGTGAAAGTGCTGCATTCAGTATGCCAGCAAATTTGGAAAACTCAGCAGTGGCCACAGGACTGGAAAAGGTCAGTTTTCATTGCACCCCAAAGAAAGGCAACGCCAAAGATTGTTTAAACTACCACACAATTGCAGTCATTCCACGTACTAGCAAAGTGATGCTCAAAATTCTACAAACCAGACTTCAGCAGTACATGAACTGAGAACTTCCAGATGTTCAGGCTGGTTTTAGAAAAGGCAGAGGAGCTGGAAATCAAATTACCAACATCCATTGGATCATCGAAAAAGCAAGGGTGTTCCAGAAAAACATCTACTTCTGCTTTATTAACTATACCAAAGCCTTTGACTGTATGCATCATAACAAACAGTGGAAAATTCTAAGAGATGGGAATACCAGACCACCTTACCTGCCACCTCAGAAATCTGTATGCAGGTCAAGAAGCAACGGTTAGAATAGGACATGGAACAAAAGTCTGGTTCCAAATTGGGAAAGGAGTACATCAAGGCTGTATATTGTCACCCTGCTTATTTAACTTATATGCAGAGTACATCATGTGAAATGCTGGGCTGGATGAAGCACAATCTGGAATCAAAATTTCTGGGAGAAATATCAATAACCTCAGATATGCAGATGACACCACCCTTATGGTAGAATGTGAAGAGGAACTAAAAAGCCTCTTGATGAAAGTGAAAGAGGAGAGTGAAAAAGCTGACTTAAAACTCAACATTTTTCACCATTGAGGGTAATGCTTGCTGTGGGTTTGTCATATATAGCGTTTATTATGTTGAGGTATGTTCCTTCTATTCCTGCTTTCTGGAGAGTTTTAATCATAAATGGATGTTGAATTTTGTCGAAGGCTTTTTCTGCATCTATTGAGATAATTATATGGTTTTTAGCTTTCAATTTGTTAATGTGGTGTATTACATTGATTGATTTGTGGATATTAAAGAATCCTTGCATTCCTGGGATAAAGCCCACTTGGTCAGGATGTTTGATTTTTTTAAATATGTTGTTGGATTCTGTTTGCTAGAGTTTTATTAAGGATTTTTGCATCTATGTTCATCAGTGATATTGGCCTGTAGTTTTCTTTTTTTGTGGCATCTTTGTCTGGTTTCCCCTAAAATCAGGAACAAGACAAGGGCGCCCACTCTCACCACTACTACTCAAAATAGTTTTGGAAGCTTTGGCCAAAGCAATCAGAGCAGAAAAAGAAGTAAAAGGAATCCAGATAGGAAAAGAAGTGAAACTCTCGCTGTTTGCAGATGACATGATTCTCTACAAAGAAAACATTAAAGACTCTACCAGAAAATTACTAGAGCTAATCAATGAATATAGTAAAGTTGCAGGATATAAAATTAACACACAGAAATCCCTTGCATTCCTATACACTAACATTGAGAAAACAGAAAGAGAAATTAAGGAAACAATACCATTCACCATTGCAACAAAAAGAATAAAATACTTAGGAGTATATCTACCTAAAGAAACAAAAGACCTATACATAGAAAACTATAAAACACTGATGAAAGAAATCAAAGAGGAGACAAATAGATGGAGAAATATACCGTGTTCATGGATTGGAAGAATCAATATTATCAAAATGACTATACTACACAAAGCAATCTATAGATTCAATGCAATCCCTATCAAGCTACAAAGGGTACTTTCACAGAACTAGAACAAATAATTTCTCAATTTGTATGGAAATATAAAAAACCTCGAAGAGCCAAAGTAATCTTGAGAAAGAAGAATGGAACTGAAGGAATCAACCTGCCTGACTTCAGGCTCTACTACAAAGCCACAGTCATCAAGACAGTATGGTACTGGCACAAAGACAGAAATATAGATCAATGGAACAGAATAGAAAGCCCAGAGATAAATCCACATACCTATGGACACCTTATCTTCGACAAAGGAGGCAAGGAGATACAATGAAAAAAAGACAACCTCTTTAACAAATGATGCTGGGAAAACTGGTCAACCACTTGTAAAAGAATGAAACTAGAACACTTTCTAACACCATACACAAAAATAAACTCAAAATGGATTAAAGATCTAAATGTAAGACCAGAAACTATAAAACTCCTAGAGGAGAACATAGGCAAAACACTCTCCGACATAAATCACAGCAGGATCCTCTATGACCCACTTCCCAGAATATTGGAAATAAAAGCAAAAATAAACAAATGGGACCTAATTAAACTTAAAAGCTTTTGCACAACAAAGAAAACTATAAGCAAGGTGAAAAGACAGCCCTCAGATTGGGAAAAAATAATAGCAAATGAAGCAACAGACAAAGGATTAATCTCAAAAATATACAAGCAACTCCTGCAGCTCAATTCCAGAAAAATAAATGACCCAATCAAAAAATGGGCCAAAGAACTAAACAGACATTTCTCCAAAGAAGACATACAGATGGCTAACACACACATGAAAAGATGCTCAACATCACTCATT